CCCCAAAACCCCAAAACCCCAAAACCCCAAAACCCCTGATTATAGATGCTGTGTTGAATATTTCAATAATATAATTAACACCAGTCGGCCAATCATATTTACACGTTATTGAGTGAAGTCGAAAGAGATTCCGAATTCAGCATACTCCTTACGGAAGGCCAACAAGCTGTCTGTCACAGTCAGAGATAACAAGTCTGATTTTGGGATCTCAATCTTTGGCAACACAATGAAGTTCAGGACCAGCCTGACGATCGGAGTGATAAAGAATTTAAACAGGCTGAGGTCGATTGGCAGACCGAAGAGAATCACCTTGAAGGAGTTTAGACTCATCTTCTTAATTTTTGGTACAACAGAGAGTAAATTCTTACTATCTCCAGGTTTGATGTTGAGGCTCACTTTTACTGAAGTTCCGAGCTCAAAACCAAGTTTGAGATTCTTTGTGACGATCTTCGGGTTAAGTCTGGCAACAATAGCTCCATCATCGAAGCTAACGGAGGTCTTTCCCTTTGATGGGTCAATAGTTGTCACAAAGGTCAGGAGGAGGAATCTGGTCTTTAGTACAAGTTTATCTAAGGTGTTCAAAGTATTTGAGAGTGTTTCAGTCAAGTATGAGCTGAAGAACATCTGGGCTTCTCCTGGACTTTCTGGATTATATCTTGGCATATCTGGAGTAGGACCTGGTCTGATAATACCTTTATCAGCAGTATAGATAGTTCCATCGAATGGGATCTCCAAGTGGTCCTCAGCGACGTTGATAGCATCTGTGAGGGCAGTCACGATTCTAATATCTTGGAGGAGGGGGAAGGTCCTTGGATATGAGGATGTCAAAATTCCATTACCAATCTCTTCTGCCATAGTGGGAACTTGATCTTTTACTTGTCCTTTTACCTTGTTTAGTAGTGTTCCTTTCATAAAGGTAGTAATAAGGCTCTCAACAGGTTTGAGACATCCCTTGCATGTAAGCTTAACCTTAAATTTAGAATTTGTCATGGATAGGCTAACTTCAGGAACAGCAATTTGTGGTATGATGAAATCTCCATCTTCAGCTTTGCCCATTAAGATGGCTAAAGCAAGGCTATCTAATGGACCTGAGATATCAGCAGTTCCCTTTATAGGTAAAACTCCGACCGCCTTATACTTATAGTTCACTTTAACTCTAATATTTGTGTTCTTAATCTCAGTACGAATGAAATTTGATTCATTATCAAATGCAACATTAAGGTTTTCAGAAGCATCATTGGAGATCTCAACTCTGATGTCAGTTGCCGTAATAGCACCTTCTTTGAAATCTTCCAAAGTTAGGGTACCAAGAGCATTCACAACACTAGTAAAGTATTTGTCCCTAGCTTTGTCAATGATTGGCTTCTCAATTACAGCTACCAAGGCTGGGTTTTCAGCCAAGCTAAGAGCTACTATGGCAAGCAAGAAGAAGATAGTAAGTCCCTTCATTATTTATTTTTATAATTGGATTCACAAACTAAGTTTAAAAAAGGGGTTTTGGGGTTTTGGGGTTTTGGGG